CTGGTGTGTGCATCTATTTTCCTGCTGGAGTTGGAAAATGTGTCTGGTAATGGCTTTCCAACATATGCACATATTTTTAAAAAGATACTGGTGTGTGCATCTATTTTCCTGCTGGAGTTGGAAAATGCGTCTGGTGATGGCTTTCCAACACAGGCACAGACAAGTAAACTATACTGTGCATGAGGTCCACAACAGAAGCAACATGGGATCTAGCTTCCCATAGATGCTGGGGTGTGATAGAGGCTGGTAGTTTTGAATTTACTATACCAGATGGACTGCCTCCTCCTCGTGACCTGTACCAGGGCATTTTGTGTGGCAGTGTTGTGACCACATGAAGCTGCCTACTACTAGGGTGCGTTCAGACGCAGCCTTTACAACGGATTCTGTGCCGGTTTCAATCGATGTACCTACCGGCATTCAGACGGGGAACATCTGTCTTCCCTCTCTATCCGTTGTAAAGAGCTTTAAACCGTTGTATTCTGCCACTAGGTCGGAAGTGGTGGTAAACAGAGTGCAACGGTTGTCATTGGTGCACCCCGGCGTCTGATCACTCTCCTCAGTTACAGAGACACTTCCGTCGGAAGCCTGAGACTTTCCCCCGCCATTTTTTTAAAAGAGGAAGCAATATGCGCTCAGGCGAAGCTTCGCCCTGAACGTTTGTTTAAAATAAAAATAAAAATGCCTTACTTTAACTTCCCGGAGGAGTCCGGGACTACAGCGAGGCCAGGTTGGGTTTTAAACTTTAAAGGTAAGTGCTTACCTTTAAAGTTTAAATGTGGGGGGGGTTGAGCATGCACAAAAATCGGCATTCTCTGAATGGCTGCCTATGCGCATGCTCAAACTGTCCTTTTTTAAAAAAACACACACGCAGACGCCCGCAGCGTGTGAGCGGGCGTCCACCGGAGGGCTTCACAAAATGGAGGTGAGTGTGATCGCGTTTCTGCCGGCATAAACTGCACCGGTTCCAACCGGTGCAGTTTATGCCAGCAGAAAGGCCGCGTCTGAACGCACCCCTACTGTGACAGATCATTGGCCTATCAAGGTCAGTACTGGCTACTCTGACTGGCTGTGGCTCTCCAAGATCTCAGATCATTCACATTATGTATTCTCTGACCATTTGTAAACTGGAAATGTGGGGGTGGGGTCTCAATCCTGGGATTCTCTGCATGCAAGGAAGATGCTTTATTGCTGGATCATGCCCCTTCCCTTTCTTGGAAGCACTTTTCATATGGCTTCTAATCATTCAATAGATATGCTATAAGAAAACATAAGCAAGCAAATATTTGGTAGCCATGGGTGGCCGAAGAGACCATTTGTTTTAAATGATTGTATCCAGAACAATGTCTAACTTTTAATACACTTAAAAACATTTTACTTGGTCTGGGCTTCAGATTTAAATACAAGGTGCCCTATAATTCCCAGAAAGAGGTTCAGATATCCCAGTGTTGATTTTCCATTAAAAATAATCAGGGGGTCACAGCTATTTAACGCTTTCCCCCTCTGCGGTTTCCACAAGAAAAGTCACTTATGTCCTAGCTGTTTCTAGCTCTGTGGTCTTGTATTTCACTCCTTCCACCACAGCTGTTATTAGCTCCAATAGTGGATAAAGACACCTGTCTTTTTTTCTCTACTGCAGGGTCCCCCTACCCATCCCTAATTAAAACATTAAAGTAAATGTCAGAAGACTGCATCACAGTTCTCTTTGATGTATAGTTTGACCCTAAGATTGAGTCTGGTCCAGGTAGTATCCTGGGAAGTGCTTGATATGTTTATCTTCCCTATTGGTTCAATTCCCAGAAAGCATCCATTCAGGGTGTTTAAAATAATGTTGTATCTCTAACATCTGCAGCAAAACAAAATATGAGTCCAGTGGCATTTTTAAGACCAACCAAGTTTTATTCACTGTATGAGCTTTTGAGTGCACACACACTTCCTCAATGCGTGTACATGAAAGCTCATAACAGTGAATAAAACTTGGTTGGTCTTAAAGGTGCCACTGGACATACTTTTTTCTCCTTCTTCAGACCAATGCAGCTACCCACCTGAATCTATCAGGGCAGCAAGATCCTGGAATGTCTTTAGGTTGTTGGAAAAGGTCATTCAGGTTTGGCCCCCCCATTTCCCATCGCCCCTCCCCCATTTGCTTTCTTTAGTATTCCCTTCCAAATCACTAGTAACATCTTTGTAACTAAAGAACAGGGCAGTAATTAGTGTAGCAGCACTGAAGGAGACTGTGATCCCACAAGTATTGTGAAACTTGGTCAGAATGCTAGAAGACTGGGGTAGGAGGGGGTCTCTGCTCTCCCACTGAACACCCCCCCCCAGAGGCCAGCCATTATTCATATCCACAAAATGAAAGCTACTGTAGAAAAGCAGCTGAGAGACTGAGCTGCAAAGCAGGTTTAAATCACACCACAACTATGAAGTCAGTGAGTAGCCTTTTGCAGCCCACTTCAGCTTATAGCAGCTTCACTTACTTTCTACAATATGAGGCTAATACTGAGCTGCCTTAAAGGGTTATTGTAAGGATTGCTGAGATAAAGTACATGAACAACCTTAAATGCTCTCAAGTGATCCAGAAATTATGAAGGAAAAAATGAACTGACTTTGCTTAATTTCTCATCAAAAGCCTTACTTTATGCTCTCAGAATTCACAACACATTATAATCAGAAAATGGTTGTCTTAATATTCAGTAGATGTAAAGTAGTGGAGTTCCAGGCGTAGCATAGTGAAATCAGCTCACATTTATTGATTACATTGGAATGAAGAGAGATAACTTAACTGGTACGAGGCCGGCTTATATTCGTGCACACACTCACACCTAACACACACACACGATTCCCGTGATAGGTTCTATATACATGGCCCAAGTAATGATAGGTTCTCTTCAGGATCCTAGCATTCCCATTGGTCCTTGCTAGGCTGGTACTGTCTGCTTTCAGCATTGGCATCACACTGATATATCACTCTTTCCAAGCTGCCACCAAAAGCACTGCAGCTGGTATAGGGCATTTGAGGATTGGAGTGAAAGGGATTTAAAAAGTTAAACTTGTTTACCTTGGTGAGATATGTGCTAATCTCATTGGATACAAAAATGTTCGCACAAGGTGTCATATTATGATTCTGCCCTCTTCCATTTAATTGTTACAGCAACCCATGAACACATAAAGCTGCCTTATACTGACTCATACCCTTGGTCCATCAAAGTAAGTGTTGTCTACTCAGACTAGCAGCAGCTATCCAAGTCTCAGACAGAGGTCTTTCACATCACCTACTGCCAGATCTTTTAACTGGAGATACTGGGCTTGAGTCTGGGACCTTCCACATGCCAAGCAGATACTCTGCCACTGAGCCACAGCCCCTACCTGGTGAGGTAGGTTAGGCTGAGTAAGGTTGACTGGTTCAAGCTCAGTTAGGAAGCTTTCTCCATGCCTAGTCCAAGACTTTAGAGACCAGCTCTAAATGAGTTCTTAAATGGCAGCTTTGCCACCCGGATTGCACCAAAGCCAAAAGCGACATTCTCCCCTACTTTAATATGATCCACACTGCATATCATATTACACAGAGGACGTAGAGAATATAAGGAATGTAGAATAAGTAATTCTACCAAGCGGGTTGGATCCAGAGATATCAGTGGAAAATACATATCTTCCTCATTTCCCCTTCCCCCAGCAGTCCTTTCTGACCCCAAGGAAGTTGATTCCTGAACTCATGGGACTCTTGTCTTGACCCAAGTCAGAGCCATTTCTAAATATTTGCCACAATAAATTTTGAATTTTGTTTTTTCTTTTATTATCAGTGATTGTTAATTGGGGGGCCTGGTAAAAACTGATATACATATATGCATACATTTTATCCAGGGATGAATGGAAGAATGCATAGATGGATACTATTTTTCATTATTAAAATGATTGTTTATATATTGATTACTAGGAGATTACATAATGCCAATTCAATTTGATATTATTAGTTAACTAGAAATTTGTTTTTATTTTTTAAAGCCAGCATTACAGAATGGGTACAATACATTCTTAAAGTCACCCCATTCTCATAACCAGTTACTGAAACATAAAAATCATAAAAATGTAAGATAAAATAGGCATAATAAATGCATACAAGTGCATATTGCTTGGTTTTGTAACTGCAAACTGTATCTCAACAGAAGTACAAAACTGCTGAATTCTTCTTATTCTTCTTCTTATTATTATTATTTTACACTGGGTTCTGGGAGATGTATCCTTTTCCAGTTTTCATGTCCATCTTAACTGGCACGAACTATATCACGTGGATGGTTCTGTGTCCCTCCACTTATGTTACTGTGGACCAATCAAATAATTTGCTGTATTTTGCAAATCATTTTGTTATCTGTTGTGTCCGCTGACCACCACCGGAGGTCAGCGCACACTCCTGAGCTTCAGTCCGGCACAACAATGGGACTAGGATTCTAGTCCCTCCACTGGGGGGAACCAATGGGACCTTGGCGGGAGATTCAAACCCACCAATGGGACCAGGGGAAGCCCCTGGACTGTGTATATAGTTGGCCTGCCGGCCGTTAGTCTTTAGTCTTGTTGTGTACCAGTAAAGCCATGCTGATCACTACATCAGTCTCCATGCTTTCTTTACGCGTCTAACCCACTACACTTCAATGGCGACGAGGATGGGATCCCGCTGAGCAACCAGCCGGGCTGTCGGACGCTAAGGGGAAGCCAATGCACCGCCGCCCGCGCTCCGTCGATTGATGAGCACCGAGGGTGAGCAATCCACTTCCCAGCCGCGGCTGCAGCAATCCGCTTCCCAGCCGCAACCGACCAGCACAATGGCCCTTGCTCCGGGATCAGGGCTGATACAGCCATTCGACACGGCGCGCCCTCAGCAATGGGGAGCTTGGATCACCGGCGTGAAGCAAGTTCTCATCTTCTGCCAGGTGACGGACGAGGCAAGAAAGAAAGGGCTTCTACTCGGGGCATGCGGCCCCGCCATAGTGGAACTAGCCCAGCATCTGATCTCTCCCAAAACGTTTGATGACTGCACCTTCGAGGAGTTAGTCAACGCAGTCCAGAACCACTACACGCCGAAGCCGTCGGAGATGACCTGCCACGTGGCGTTCCAGCATCGGAACCAGCTAGGCCGCGAGACAGCTGCGGAGTTCCTCGCCGAGCTCCGCCGCCTGGCCGCGGATTGCAAGTTCGAGGGTCACTTAGAAATGGCGCTGAGGGACCGGTTCGTCGCAGGCCTGCGGGAGGAGAAGCTGAGGCGACGCATCATGGAGGGCGAGAAGGTCACCATTGCGTCGGCCATGGCCACCGCATCTGCCTGGGAAAGGTCCCACCCAGCCACCTCGACCGCACATCAAGCCAACACCGGGACACCCAATAGCCCGGATGAGGACGTCCACCGCACGCAAGCTCCGCGGCGCACCCCACGGGCGAACGCGAACTCCGGTCGCCAGCCGCCCAACACAATCCAGCCCGGGTGCGCCAGCTGCGGGGATCCGCACGACCGGAATACTTGCCGGTTCAGGGGAGCTGTTTGCCGGACCTGCGGGCGCACTGGACACATCGCCCGCGCCTGTCGCGCCAAGGTCCCCAGCCGCGGCCAACCTCCGCGCCACCGAGCGGAGGCCCACTTCGAGGACGGCGCGGATAGCGAGGACCTCTACAGGATCGCGCACACCGAGGAAAAGGTACTCCAACTCCCCGGGAAGGCGGCCCACCCCAAATTTATGGTGACCGTAGAAATAGAAGGGTCCCCCTGCCGCATGGAGATAGACTCGGGCTCCGCGGCCTCCATCATCTCGGAGGCCACGCTCAAGCAGTTATGCCCCAGGGGGGGGCCGCGGTTGCGGCCAGCACAAGTCACCCTCATGGACTTCCAGAGAAACCCGGTGCCAATAAAGGGGGTCGGGACCTTTAGGGTGCAATACGGACAGTTGAAAAGGCGGTTGGACTTGATTGTGGTCGCCGGCGACCTAGTGAGTCTGCTGGGGCGGGCTTGGTTCGAGCCTCTGGGAATCACCGTCGAGGGAATACAGCTGTGCGCCGCCCAGGGCTACGAGGGAATCTGCCGGGAATTCCCCACGGTTTTTGATGATTCGCTGGGCAGGTATACGGGCCCCCCGGTGTCGTTGCGCATAAACCCCCAGGTAGCCCCAATCCGCATGCGAGCCAGGTCGGTTCCGCTTACGGTTAAGCCAAAAGTCGATGCGGAACTGGATCGCCTAGTAGCACAAGGCATCCTGGAACCGGTCCCCCATGCCGCATGGGAGACCCCCACTGTCGTGGTGGAAAAACCGAATGGGGCGGTCCGCATTTGCGCAGACTACAAATGTACGCTGAATAAGGCGCTCCAGGACCACGCTTACCCGGTCCCAGTAGTGAGCCACGTACTAGCCACCCTAGGTGGAGCAAAGATTTTCGGCAAGCTGGATCTGGCCCAGGCCTACCAGCAGTTGCCGGTAGACGAGGCGACTGCCGATGCGCAAACGATAGTAACCCACCGGGGGGCATTCCGTGTGAAGCGACTCAGCTTCGGGGTAAGCGTGGCACCCGGGTTGTTCCAGCAACTAATGGACTCTCTCCTAAAAGGGATTCCGGGCGTCACACCCTTCTTCGATGATGTGATGATCGCCGCCGCCTCGCCTGCGGAATTTGCGGACCGTCTCCGCATGGTGCTCCGCCGTTTCCAGGAGGCGGGGCTAAAAGTCAAGATGGACAAATGTCGGCTGGGGGTGCAGTCAGTGGACTTTTTGGGATTCACCCTGGCCCATTTTGATGAGACATTACCGGTGGTTTTGGCATGCGATGCCTCGCCTTACGGGGTCGGGGCTGTGTTGGCTCACCGTTTGGCCGACGGCAGGGAGGTCCCGGTCGCTTATTACTCTCGAACCCTTTCTGCGGCGGAGCGGAACTACGCCCAGATCGACCGGGAGGGTCTCGCAATTGTGGCCGGGGTCAAGAAGTTCCACGACTACATATACGGCAGGCCGTTCACCATTGTCACAGACCATCGCCCGCTCCTCGGCCTCTTCGCGCCCGACCGCCGGACGCCGCAGGTTCTCTCGCCGCGAGTCCTAAGGTGGACTATTTTCCTCGCTGGCTACAATTATCTGCTCCTGCACCGCCCCGGGAAAGCCATGGGCCACGCGGACGCTCTTAGCCGCCTCCCACTACCTGAGGTGGTTGAGGACCCGGCCCCAGCCTTCCGGGTCCTTCAGCTGGAGGGCCTGCCGGAGGCCCCGTTGCAAGCGCGGGACATTGCCCGCCGCTCGGCTCGGGACCCCGTGGTATCCCGGGTTCTGGGCTGGGTGGTGAGGGGGTGGCCTGAGAAGACAGACCCTGAGTTCGCGGCGTATGCTACCCGGCGGGACGAACTTTCTGCACACAAGGGATGCCTGCTATGGGGAGACAGGGTCGTGGTCCCACACGCATTACGCCAGAGGGTCCTCCAGGCACTGCATGAAGCTCACCCGGGCATCGTCCGGATGAAAGGGCTGGCAAGAAGCTACGTCTGGTGGCCCGGCATCGACGCAGAGGTGGAAGCATGGGTCAAGCGTTGTCAGCCCTGCCAGGCGGTGAGACCCAGCCCACCGGGGGCACCAGCGCAGGCGTGGGAATCCACCCGTACCCCGTGGTCCCGGCTCCATATAGACTTCGCAGGGCCATTCCAGGGACGGCTGTTCCTGGTCACGGTGGATTCCTACTCAAAGTGGCTGGAAATAAGCCCCGTGGCTGCAACGTCCGCAAAAGCCACCATCCGCGCCCTACGAGGACTCTTTGCCACACACGGGCTGCCGGACACCATCGTGTCGGACAACGGGACGGCTTTTACGTCCGAGGAATTCCAGCAGTTCCTCAGCAGCAACTTGATCCGACATGTCCGGTCAGCGCCGTTCCACCCCGCAACCAACGGCCAAGCGGAGCGAATGGTCCGAACCGCAAAGGAGGCCTTGAGCCGGATGGTGGAAGGGGAATGGGAATGCCGCATCGCCAGATTCCTCCTGACCCAGCACACGACTCCCAACCCTGTCAGCGGAAGGTGCCCAGCAGAACTACTGATGGGTCGAAAGCCAACGATCCTTTTGGACCGCCTGCACCCCGACCGGGCCCCCGACCAAAGAAACGCAGTCGAGCAGAGGGAAGCACCAAGGGGGTTCTTCCCAGAGGACCCGGTTCTCGCCAGAAACTTCGGCCGCGGTCCGGAGTGGATTGCGGGCCGCATACTCCGGCCCCTGGGTACCGTGATGTACGAGGTATCCATGGAGTGCGGGCAGATATGGAGAAGGCACATCGACCAGCTCAGACAGCGAGTGCTACCGGAGTCCCAGACAGAGGAAGAGACGAGACAGCAGACGGAACCTAGAGAGACCACACCCGAGGCGACTGCACAGGACTTGCCAGCCGAGGAGCACCCGGCACAGGGCCCCACGGCCCCAGCTTCGGTCGAGGAAAACCCCGTTCCGGAGGCGGCGGAAGCAGGAGCACCAGCTCCCTCGTCAGAACCCGGCCCTGAGGTCGGAATTCCGGAAGCACGAGGGGCCACCCCTCGACGGTCAGCTAGAGTACGACGGTCCCCATCGTACTTAAAGGACTACGTGACTTAGGGGAGGGCCCGGACTATGGGGGGAGGGATGTTGTGTCCGCTGACCGCCACCGGAGGTCAGCGCACACTCCTGAGCTTCAGTCCGGCACAACAATGGGACTAGGATTCTAGTCCCTCCACTGGGGGGAACCAATGGGACCTTGGCGGGAGATTCAAACCCACCAATGGGACCAGGGGAAGCCCCTGGACTGTGTATATAGTTGGCCTGCCGGCCGTTAGTCTTTAGTCTTGTTGTGTACCAGTAAAGCCATGCTGATCACTACATCAGTCTCCATGCTTTCTTTACGCGTCTAACCCACTACACTTCATTATCCTTAGGATCTTTCTATACCTCCATGCAAAAGATGCAAAACTATGAGCCACCGTTACAACTGGAATGGCCCAAATACTTATTTCATAATGATAATCATTTTATATTCACATAGAAAGATCACTGAGATAATCTTTCAGGGCCTTTTGTTTGGAAAGAAGTAGCTAATCCAAAGTGGCAGATTCAGTGATAAAAGTTTTGTAACTGAATGGAATCAATCATCCTTATTTTTTCCCCTTTTAACTCTTTCAGATATGATCCTCGCTTCAACACATGGATTCATCTGGCAAACATGAATCAAAAGCGCACCCATTTCAGTCTGAATGTGTTCAATGGCCTCCTTTTTGCAATCGGTGGCCGCAACTCTGAAGGGTGTCTCTGTTCCGTTGAATGTTATGTCCCTGCAACTAATCAGTGGCAAACAAAGGCCCCACTGGAGGTAGCTAGGTGCTGCCATGCTAGTGCGGTAATAGATGGCAGGATCCTGGTCACTGGAGGGTACATAAATAATGCTTATTCTCGCTCTGTCTGCATGTACGACCCTGCCAATGACAGCTGGCAGGATAAACCCAGCCTAAGCACACCAAGAGGGTGGCATTGTGCCATTTCCCTTGGGGAAAAGGTCTATGTTATGGGTGGGTCTCAACTGGGAGGGCGAGGGGAAAGGGTTGATGTCCTTCCTGTGGAGTGCTTCAGTCCGTATCCTGGCCAGTGGAATTATGCCTCTCCTCTTCCAACCGGTGTGAGCACTGCTGGGGCCTCCATCCTTAATGGGAAAATTTATTTGGTGGGAGGCTGGAATGAAATAGAGAAGAAATACAAGAAATGCATTCAGTGCTACAACCCTGACCTTAATGAATGGACCGAAGAGGACGAGTTGCCTGAAGCCACTGTAGGAGTCTCCTGCTGCACCATTGCCATGCCCAACACTAAGACCAGGGAATCCCGGGCCAGCTCCGTATCTTCAGTACCAGTCAGTATTTAACTATTAAAAAAATTAAGTATAGAAGAGCTAGATCTGTTTTTTTTTTAATATTTACTATGTCCAGCTGTGTTCTAATCCCTTTTGCACCTACTGGAAGGGAATGGAGGAAACACCATTTGTGTGTCAATACTAGCTGTCATTTTCAGTTTTGCAGAACTAGCCAATTTCTCTGGTATTTAAAATACATGGTATGACCTAAGGAATTTAAAGCTGACAGATTTGCTTAGTAATACCAAGTTCTTGACAGCCTGACAATCAGTTCATAAGAAGTTGGTAAAAATGCCCTAACCTGGATAGCCCGAGCAAGCCCGATCTCTTCAGATCTCGGAAGCTAAGCAGGGCTGACCCTGCCAAGTATTTGGAAGGATAACTTCCAAGGAATACCAGGGCTGGGAGGCAGAGGCAACCTATCAAGCCAGTTCTCTGAATGTCCTCCATGCCCCAATAGGAGCTGCCAGAGGTTGCCATGACTTCCAGGCTCACATACACACACACATGCAAAAATACTAAAAAAAAAAGGAAGTTGGTAAAATAATTCAGAAACATATATTTATTATAAATATAATGCTATGTATAATGAAAACTGTCTGTTTTCGCTACGTTTCTATATGGTCAAAGGTTTCATATGTAAGAAAGCACAAAACACACTGGTTACCTGTGCAAATACGAAAGCATATACAATATATTACCTTCCACTTACAATTTCCATGCATTGGACACATATAAAAGTTCTTCTGTCTTCTTTGTCTCGGCATTGCCTGGCTTTCCCTTTATGATCATTTGGAATGATGTAAAACTGAAACACCATTCTAGCATAAGATATGCTGCTTTTATCCGCTTAAGGCAGTCAAGACTTTAAGGCTGCACATTTTTTGTTGTTCTTTAATAAGCTTTTGAAAACTATTTCATCTTAAGTATTTATATGCATCTTTAAAAACCTGTTTTCTAGAAACCAAACATCACCCTGAATAATTCTTCAACTTTTCTCAGTATCTCTCTCTCCGGGTACACCAATATGCCCATTACATGCATCATTGTCATTATACAGTCTTTTAGATGCACATAAATGCACCAGATGTAATTTCTTAGCTGTCCTTTTGGACATTGAGATGCTGCCCACCTGGCATTTGGCTCAGCTGCTCTTCCATGTATAGCCCAAGGGTTACACAGATTTAACTTCTCTTGCCCTTGGGACAAACTACAGATTGAGAGTTCAAACATAGTGTCCACAAGTGTACACCCATAATCCATATCTTGTGAAGTGGTCCTCAGTCATGTCCGAGTAACACGCCCTGAACTTTTACTATCACTAGATTAACAGAACATCTCAAAACATTTAAGTGTAGCATGCATTCATCTGTGAAGGAGGAAAAGGAAGATTAGCCAACTTTCCAGTCCCAGGGAGCAAATCTATATTTAGCTCCTGGTTTGTTTTCTTTTTCTTTTTTTGAGCCCCGTTGTTCACTGTTTTGATCAGTTTCACTTATTCCTAAACAGTCAGTGTTTGTGGCAGATAACAGAAGACAGTTCACACTGTCAGGTACAGAAGGACAATACCCAGCTGAAGAAACAGATGGAAGGTAAAATGAGTAGCTCTTCCAAGAGCCCTAGTCCATATGTGTGAAACATGCATCATCCTGTAACTGGCCTTCTGTCATGCCATACTTCTGATGAGGAAACCCCCCCCCCCAAGACTGCATAGTTGGCATCTTTTGGTGAGCAGATTATGGGAAGTGGCTGTCTGGTTTGGCCTTGGAGAGCAGGTTCTTTATAACAATGGAATGGAAAATTGGATCCCACATCCCACTGACTGAAGCAAAATTTCATTTATTTTAATGGCTGTAAATTAAATTTAAATTCATCTTGGTCATACCATGTAGCAAATTTTTAAAAACCACTGCAACATTTTCCTGTTATTTTATTTGAACTGTGAAAAACAGTTTGTATATTACTTTTTTATCATTGCCTCCCACATTGTAATCTAAAATATTAGCCCATGATCATAGAGAAACTGAAACTGGAAATAGCTTTTGTTGGTAGTATTGTCGAGGATCGAATGAAAGGGGAAACTCTGGGGATCCAACATCTTAATGTTAATGTAATGAGTGCATTGCAACTTGAAATGATTTCATTATATTGTATGGAAGAAAAATGCCCACATATAACTGTGTGAGTTTGAAAAGCTTTTTGTGTTTATATACTTGAATGGTCCTATCGGTATCATTCAGTCAAACTTCAAACAGGTAATGTAAACCTAGAAATAATTTCTGTTCTTCACAATCTTCAGGGCCCAATTTGTTTGGGGGCTTTATTTACATTTGTGTATGTGGCTAAGAGGGTAAACTGGAATTTTTTTGTCCCTGTAGCTATGCAGACATTCAGCAGACTGAGTATCACAGTAGACGTGGTACAACATAGCCATTCTGTTCTTATATGTTCAAAACACATGATCTAAATCAGTGCTGCTCAGACTGCCTGTGGTTCATCAGAAAATTACTGGCTGAGTTTTGGTGGACCATCTAGCACCTGCTGGTTGCTGAGATTCTTTCAAGGTATGCCTTGTCTAAATGATGTTGGCCTGATCAAGCATGGCACTCCTTTTGTTCATAAGCAGTATTGATGATTATCACATGTGTGCCAGTAGATCCCAAGTATGCACACTTCCTTTTTAAACACGTCAGTGGCAATGCTCCCTCTAAGCTGTGGAGTCTTTTTGTGAGCAAAAATTCTGCTTTGTGAGCTACTAGCATTAAGAACATAAGAACATTAGGGACGCCAATGTGGGATCAGGCCAAAGGCCCATCCAGTCCAACACTCTGTATCACACAGTGGCCAGAAATACCAGTGCCATCATGAGGTCCACCAGTGGGGCCAGGACATTAGAAGCCCTCCCACTGTTGACCCCCCTAAGCACCAAGAAGACAGAGCATCACTTGCCCCAGAGTCCCTATCTATACCTTGTGGCTAATAGCCACTGATGGACCTCTGCTCCATATGCTTATCTAATTCCCTTTTGAAGCCGTCCATGCTTGTAGCCGCCACCACTTCCTGTGGCAATGAATTCCATGTGTTAATCACTCTTTGGGTGAAGAAGTACTTCCTTTTATCTGTTCTAACCTGACCACACAGCAATTTCATGGAGTGCCCACGAGTTCTTGTATTGTGAGAAAGGGAGAAAAGTACCTCTTTCTCTACCTGCTCTATCCCATGCATAATTTTATAAACCTCAATCATGTCACCCCTCAGTTGTCATTTCTCCAAGCTAAAAAGCCCTAAGCGCTTTAACCTTTCCTCATAGGGAAAGTGTTCCAACCCTTTTATCATTCAAGTTCCATCAATGTGTATTTATATTTAGGATTTTTGGCTCCAATGTGCATCACCTTGCACTTGGCCACATTGAACCCCATTTGCCATGTTGACGCCCACTCGCCCATCCTTGACAGATCCCCTTGGAGTGCCTCACAATCCTCACTGGTTTTCACCACCCTGAACAACTTCGTATCATCTGCAAATTTAGCCACTTCACTGCTTACTCCCAACTCCAAATCATTAATGAACAAGTTAAAAAGCAGTGGACCAAGTACTGATCCCTGTGGTACCCCACTGCTTACCCCCCTCCACTGGGAGAACTGCCCATTTATACTCACTCTCTGTTTTCTATTAATTAGCCAGTTTTTGATCCATAAAAGGACTTGTCCTTTTATCCCATGATTTTTGAGCTTGCTTAGGAGCCTTTGATGAGGAACTTTATCAAAAGCTTTCTGGAAGTCAAGGTAAACAATATCTATTGGATCCCCCTTGTCCACATGTTTGTTCGCCCCCTCAAAGAACACTAACAGGTTAGTGAGACAAGATCTTCCCTTACAGAACCCATGCTGAGTCTGCCTCAATAGGTTTTGTTCATCTATTTGCCTACTAATTCTCTCCTTAATAATGGTTTCCACCGATTTACCCAGTATCGACGTCAGACTGACTGGCCTGTAATTTCCCGGATCTCCTCTGGAACCCTTTTTAAAGATGGGAGTGACATTAGCTACCTTCCAGTCCTCAGGAATGGAGGCAGATTTTAAGGAAAGATTACATATTTTTGTCAGGAGATCCAGAAGTTCACATTTGAGTTCTTTCAGAACTCTCGGATGTATGCCATCTGGGCCTGGTGATTTATCAGTTTTTAAGTTGTCAATCAGTTTTAGGACCTCCTCTCTCATCCCCTCAATCTGACTCAGGTCTTTCAACACCCCTCCTGAAATCAGTGGTTCTGGAGTGGGCAAGCACTTCTCATCTTCCACAGTGAAGACAAAGTTGTGAGCAAGCAATTTGGCTACAGCATAAATTAGTTTGCTCTGGAGCCTTCCTTCCTGAGTTAAGACAAAAATATGTGAGGTAGTGAGATGTGAGAGAAAAAACTGTGAGATAGCTCACACTAACTTGGTTTACAGGGAACACTGGTCAGTGGTCCACAGGAACGCTAGGAAGAAAATAAACACACAGTATAAAGTCAGTCTCTGATTTAAATGAGTGTGTGTTTGTGTGTGTAGTTTATATTTTTATCAGCTTTTCATCTAAAAACTGACTGAATCAAAATCTGACGCAAATGACAATACTAAATGTATTTGAGGATTCTCAGCTGCTCTGGATCCTAGAATGATACAGGGCTAAATTTGGAATTCGGAAGAAGGGAAGCCATTAGCTGGAGCAGGGCCCATGCTTGATGGATGAGCACCTGGCTGCTGCTTCCCCTCCTTCTGGCTGAATGCTGAAGGGAGGGGGCTCTCAGCTACAGCCTGGCTGCTTCCTGCCCTTCTTGCTAATAGTGCCATCAGTATATACATGTCCTCTATGCACAATTTCCCTTGAACCCAATTTCAAGTGGTAATGATAAAGTATTATAAAATACACACACACGTAGGAAAGTCTGCACGGGCCATTTGGATTCCATATTGAATATGGGCAGGGAAGGTGTACATTCACACCCTCCCCCACATGTCCAGTATACTCAGTTTGCTGAATTGGTACATAGGCTGTGTGTGTGAGAGAGAGAAGGCTGGACTGAGAACAAGTGAAAGGAAAGGAAGTTGAATTTTGCTTTTAATTCTTTACACGATGATGCCTATGGTCATTTTTATTGCTGTTTTCTGAAACTTTCACAGCCAAACTCCAAATCTTGGGAAACATCCTTAGGGGTACTCAGGCAGTGGTTTCTTTGACAGAAATACAGCTGAAATACAGCTGCCTGTTGGAGGCATTTTGTTGGATGTAAGCTCTTGAAGGACAGTTTTGCCTATAACCAGGAAGTTTCCATTATAAAATGTTGCCTATGTGACCATGGCCTCTGTTTGCTGGTAA